CACTATACAAATTTGATACAGTTTAAAGGCAGTCATGACTTAATGCTAAGCCACAGCTTGTTTTAACCATGGCTTGTTGACTAAGCTATATTGGGTATGTTCTCTTATTGCACAATTGCAAACATATTGTGGCTGGTGGTGATCTTGGTGCTCTCTGAGCTTGGTTGTTTGCTTGTAGATGTTTCATTACCCAACTAGGTAACATCATCAGGATTATGATGTGTTACCAACCACCATCAAGACCACATCTCAAGACAACCATCATCAAGACAAGCCAAAAAAAGGGGAAAAAACCCACAAAAAAACAAAACTCCAAACCCAACTGCTCTAGTTAAACCCCAGAAGCAAAGAGGTAGTGGTAAATATTTCCAGCTGCCCTGATGATGTTACCTAGTTAGGTAATGAAATGTCTACAAGCAAACAACCAAGCTCAGAGAGCACCGAGAACTCCACAGTTCATCCCTGAGCTACAGATATTCTCTGCTATTGTGGCTTAGTACTAATATGTGACATCTGCCAGAAAAAAAACTTTGTGATAATCCAGTCTTGATGCATTTAGAGTGTTTCTAAATGAGTGGCTCTGAGCAATAATAAGTTACCGTTTCTCTCTAGAAAGGTACAAATGGAATTGCATTTGCCTTTCAACACTATCTATAGAGATCATAGATCACCCTCTCAGTCCCTCTCTTTCTCTGTTGTGTTTATTTCCTCTTATATTTTATCTACTCTAGTGCTCTTCGTTTTACATCTCTATCTTTACAGTTTTGATGTGGACAGGGGTTTATGGAACAGCTGAACTTATCCCAGTTCCACACACATTCTCATGCACGCATACACATATACCTAGTCTGTAATGCACAACGCTCTTTAAGCTGGATCCCAGGCGGATGCAATTATTCTCTTAACGGTGAACAACCCCTGTGTCCTCCAGTGAAATGTGAGTGATTGCATGTCTAGACTGAATATTCCCAGCCTGGCGTCCCCCAGATGTTTTGGGGAACAAGTCCTAGAATTCCTATTCAGCTTGGCCGTTGCTGGGTGGGCATTCTGAGAACTGGAATCAGATTGGGGAAAACTAGCTTGGGGCTTGAGAAAACTACAGGATGCAGCATAAATTCTTTCTCCACCTAACTGCCACTTTGAATGGCTGGTAATTGTATGCTAGCCTTCCTCGCTAATGCACTCACGTGCTGGAATTTAAAGAAGGGAAGGTCACGTATCCCTAAATAACAGGGGGCGTTGCCCTGTCCCCTCACTCCCCCACTACACAGGCATGATGAAATTAGTGCTTCCTGCTAACACAAAATGCTCCTTTTCTTTTTCGTTTAAACTCTTATCTTTGACTATACAGTACATCATATCCTAGTTACTGTTCTTCACTCGTCTCTTTTCTGTTTCTCCCCTTTCCTGTGGCTCCGTTGCTGTTCCTAATAGCTTATGCCAGGCTCTGGTGCTCTGACAATGAGAATCCAAGGGCATGCAATGCGGGACAAGAATTTCCAAGAGATATTTAAAGAGATTGTTGAGAATGTAGAAGAAAGGCAGGAGGAGGAGGAGATGAGTCATAAGACTGACAAGAGAAAAGACAACTGAAATCAGGTGTGAGGATGTACACGGGTTAGGGTTAGAATTAGATATATTAAATACAGTTAGTTGCTTCAATGGAGCAGTGGATTAAGAGCTGACTGTAAAAATAATCTTTCTGCATGGTTCTTTATTATACAGAGGAATATTAAGCACTGCTCTTGAGATTTTAAATGAGGGAGAATGGAGTGTGGCAAAGCTAGAAAGCAAATGCCAGGCCTGTGGACCCGAAGCGACCTTCTCCCAGCAAACTTTGTAGCCCTCCATGAAGATTTCAGCTTTGAAAAATGTCGCTTCCCCATGATAAAATGCAACTTGTGGGGGATGTTTGTAAAGGTCTGTGGCTGAATCATCCTGCATCTGTAGCTCAACCAGTTTTGGGACCCAGATCGTGCCCTACGTTGTGCTGTAACTCACATCATACACGCCACACCATTTTCACTCCCCAAATGCGGCTAACCTGTGATCATCTTCACTTCTGTTGACCTTGAAAGGACCACAACGGCCTTCAAAAGGGGAGTCGAAACCCGCAAAATGGCAGGCATGATGTTGTAAGGCCTTCTGTGTTTGCATCACACAAATGAAAAGGGCAGAGCTGCCACTGCAATATTTACCTGTCATCCTGCAGATTTTGACCCCTCCTGTGGATGTTGTTCAGGGCTCACTTCCAGTTGTTTCAGTGGAGGAGGCAAAAAAGTCACCTAAACCATATCACGCCCTGAGCTATTAGAGAGCCCACCGTTACAAAATCCCCTCAACCCATCCCATACAAAAGGATATGAAATAAATTATTTTCTGTTCACAATTCCACCACAGGCCTGCATTTGTCCAGAGGTCTGCCAAAATAGTTATGAATATTTATAAATACTATTTATGTATTTAAAAACAGAGTTTGTATATTTGGAAAGCTCTGGAACTTCTCAGATGCAAGGACACACACTTGGTGTTCCGTTAAAAGCAAGATTATTTCCAAGGTTTCTTCTAACCTTGAGGGTCTGTGGTGGTGGAATCATAGCATGTTGACTTTTTTGTAAGCAGCTGCTTCCTCAGTATCTCTAACCATGGTTTACTTGCTTCTGTGCCCATAGGAGATATGTATGAGAGAGAGAACGGGGGGGGGGAATGGTTTAGAATGTCTGTAGGCATCATGAACAGGGTTCTGAAGCTATGTGTTATGGTGGAAAAGCAAAAATTGCTAAAATTGGAAGCCTGGAAGAAGCAGGAATTTCCACCAGTGAGAAAAAGGGTTGCCCACAAGCACCACAGAGCTTTAGCAATGGAAATTGGAAAATAATATTTATACAATGGTTTATATATTGCCCTATTTGCAAAGATTCTCTGTGATACTAGATACGGTACAGCTGAGTCAAAAATAAATCAGCTCAGCTGCTGAACAGAGACTACAGCGTAAGACCACACCAAGAGAAGGATTCTCCAGAAGTGATGTGGAAAGTCCATGTGGAAGTGACTTAAGATTGCTTGTGGTTGTGCAAAGTGCCATCTGGCCTGCAGAAAACCCAGTTTGTGGAAGATTGAGCCAAGGTATCCATGTGATCCAAACATTTCTGTATAATACTGGCACTAATTGGGAACAGCTTTGTGATAGCAACGGTATGCAGAGATAATGCATAAGTGTGTGACAGCCAGTTTGGGGTAGTGGCTAAGGTGCTGGGCTACAAACTGGGAGATTGTGAGTTCTAGTCCTCCCTTAGGCATGAAAGCCAGCTGGGTGACCTTGGGACAGTCCTTCTCTCTCAGCCCAATCCACCTCACAGAGTTATGCCTCTATGAAGTCATAATCCATGGCTCTCAGAAGCTGTTAGAAGTGTGCCTTCTAAGATGCCCTTGTTAATTTTTGTCCATTATTTTGCCCCTGTTGCGGGACACCAGGAGTTGATTAGAGGTCCGATCTATTGTTTATCCCCCTCCTTCAAAAAGAATGCCCAGCATTGCTCTGGGAATAACATAGGCGTTGAGTGTTCAAAGTTGGGGTGGGGGGGGAAGCAATGAATCAACTGGGTGGAATAGAAGGAAGGGAGGAGATCATTATTCCCAGGCAGTGTGGAACAGTTTAGAACCATACAGAAGAGGACAGTGGTGACTTGATGCTAGCTGACTTATTTATGATCCTGAAAAATATGATAAAAAGTAGGCAGGATGGGTGGCCTTTCCTTCTCCCAGCCATGTCACCACTGGTGATGTTGGAGTTGAAGCTCCACGTATTTAATGCTGGGGGATGAAGGAAGGCTGCCTTCCCCATAAGGGTTGTTGACTCATAGAGTTGGGAGAGGTCTTAAAGGTCATCCAGTTCAACTTCCCTCTGATGATTCAACCTCCGAGGATGGCTCTTACCGTTTCCTTGCAGGAACCTGCTTGGCGTTAGTGGGATATTTTGGGAAAGGAAGGACCACTCTTTTCCATAATGTCCTTCCGAGGTTGCTGTGTGTCATCTAAAAGGCCGGTCTTTAGCTCACTATTTTGGGGAGCTTCTGATGGATACGTCCTGTGAAGTTGGACTGTGGTTCCTCAGATTGCCACTAGGTGGAAATATTATTTCACTTTTGTTTGAAACGGTGCTCCTATTCCTTACAAGTACACCGAGGGACGAAGAGAGCGGTGGCATCTTTAATTCAGCAATTTCGTAAAGGTTTGCCCATCGAGCCCACTTTTTCTGGTTGCAGGAATGTGTGTTTGATGATAAGGACTGGACAGCCCTATTCCTTTGCTGATGCCTGCAGCAAGCTTCTGTCTTGGATCGCTATTTCCCTTATATTTCAATTTTTTTCCTATATTATTATTATTGGAAATAGCAATAGTGCGTAGTATTGCTACAAATACTGTATTGGTAGTACTGTATTTGATATACACCTCATACTTTATGAAGTAACAAAAGAAAAAGCTTATCTCTGCCCAGAGGAGATTGCAATCTATATTATCATCATCATCATCGTCATCATCGTCATCATCAAAATTTATATGCCGCCCGACTCCCAGTCACTCTGTGGCACCCCAGTTCTGTCTGCCTCGCCGTCTTATGATTCTACAAACAGTGTCTGGAACTCTGGATAGGTTCACATGGGAACTGACAGTCAGCCCTTTAGATATCTTGACCCTCGTTTTGGACGTTGTAGGAAAAACTTTACTGTACAATTAAAAAGTCACAGTCTACTGAGTTTTAGGATAGTATGCACACATGGGATCTCAAAAGGATTTCCTGAAGAAGCTCTTAATGAACCTTCTGAAAAGCTCTTCAAATGCTCCCTAAAAAGCTAAAAGGCCATTTGGAGAGGTTCACTTGCTGACTGCCAGGGTGTGCTAAACAATGGTTTATTGAATAAATCACAATTGGTCTGGGTTTTTCGCCTTGCTAAGCTATAAAACTGTTTTCACTGAACCCATAGGAACCTAACTCTGAGCAGACTGGTGCAGGTTTCTGCTGTTTCTATTCCTTGGTGACAACCGTCAAGCTCCTTTGAATGGGAGATGTCAGTCTGTGATAAACAAATGAGAGTTCAAACTATTTTTTTAAAAAGCTACCGTTAGTTACTGAGAACTTAGATATTTAGGTTTAGGAGCAAAAATATATTTGCTTGCATGTGTGATCATGTGCATAAATAAATCTTTTCCCAGGTTGTGGACTTTTCCAGGCAAAGACACACATCACCCGTTTTCTTATTTTGGCTAAAATGCAATAGAAATAGTGAAAATAAACCAAGAAAGCAATGGAAGCATCCTTCCTTTGAAAAGGTCTGATGACAAAAATGGCTTGCCCAAGAGTATATGTGTTTCTGCTGCAAATAACAAAGCCCTGATGTTTCTACTGTTTCAACTGAGTTCTCATTTGCTTCTCCAGAATGAAGAAATGGCCCGCCAGTTGGTAGAGCTGGGTTTTCGAGGAAGTGGAGAAGTGCTGAAAAGGGAAGATTTCATTGCCAGGAAATTAGCTGCTGAAGCATCGAGGATCTCAGAGAGACACCAGCAGAAGTAAGGGACATCTAGATACTAATGGACCATCTCAGAAGATATGAAGAAGGGTAATCAAGGATGAATCAACATATCAGTTAAAGCGTAGCTGTCTAAAACTGGAAAGAGGGTTGCCATTATGAAGTCTTGTAGAAGAATTTAAAGAAGCTTTTCCCAACCATGGTTTTCCAGGAAGTTCGAGTTAATTTTCCAGTTCTGTTTTCTGGGTATTATGGGAGTTGAAGATCAGTTTATTTAATGAGCCCCCGGTTGGAGAAGGCTGCCTTAAATAAATTCAGATCCGTAACTCCCAATGCATGTATTTAGATCAATGATTTCTAAACTCAGCTATTTATTTCCATTTCTGAAGACACATCAGTAGTTGAAGACTTCCATAAAAGCAAAATGCTCTTCATGAGGAAGACTGCCTGTGTGTGTCTGCATGATTTATTGTTGGAGGTCTGTCCTCTTTCTGGTCTTCCTGTTCCAGCTGCAGGACAGAAATTTGACCATATTTCTCCACTAGACACCACCAGCTCCATCCTTCCCCATGTAGAGATGTCATACAACGTGTGTGACTTGCCTCTTTCCAAGAGTATTGGTGACTCATGAGGAAACATCAAATAGGGCTTCTCAGTGAGCAGATCCTTTCTTCATTCACCCTAAAACGACAACTATTTTGAGCTCAAAAAGGAAATAGATTTCTAATTCAGAAAGATCACATATCTTGGGAATCTGAGCAAACTAGTTTCAGTGCTGGAAAAAAACTGGAGGTTTTTCTCATTCTGTGATTAAAAGAACACAATAGTTTAGATGGAAATATATCGGTGGAAGGCCTACAGGAGAACTGCATTAAGTTACTCACCTTGGAAGTAACAGCAGAGAGGTTTATTGGTGTAATCCAGTGTTTCTCAACCTTGGCAACTTTAAGACGTGTGGACTTCAACTCCCAGAATTC